GAGAGAGAGAAGAAAGAAAGAAAGAAAGAAAGAAAGAAAGAAAGAAAGAAAGAAAGAAAGAAAGAGAAGAAAAATGAAAAGCTGAGGGTGATTAATCATCAGCTGAAGCCAGTGCGGTGTCAGAGGGCCGCCCCGGCAGCCTATCGGAAGGGCACACAGAGCTGAGGGATCAGCCAGGATCTCGATGTGAAGGTTGCCCTCTCAGCCCACCACGTGCACTACACCGAGGTCACCGTCCTGGTTAGGAGGAGGGGGGCCTGACACTCCGATGGGCACAGCTGATCGCTGCCCTAGGAAACCTCGCGAGGCAGATCCCCAACCTCTGCCTGTAGGTGAGCTGCTCCTCTCTCCTGAGGGCTGGTGCTTTCCTCTTCCTTGCAAGTCACACACAGGGGCCCTGGCCAGTTAGCTCAGATGGTTAGAGCATCACCCTGATAGGCCAAGGTTGTGGGTTCTGTTAGAGCCAGGACCATGGGCCGGTAGAGAAACTCACCAGGGGTGAAAGCCCCTGATGCCCACCTAGCAAGGGGCAAGCTGGGAAAACCAGAACCTCACCCCTAGCACATCACTGGTCATGAGGTTGAGACCCCCTGATCTTTTCCTCCCTAAAGATAATATCTAGGCCTCAGTTATAGTTCAGCTCCAGGCCCAGAAAACTGGCAAAACCAAATAAGTGTCTCAGGACCAGCTACACTGACGAATGACCGCCTGGCACCAACCAATCAGTGAAGACCACGACAGTGAAGAGCACCCTGGAGAGCTGATGACTATCCATTAAGACCCTCCCCTAAGATTTCCACCTGCAAGAGCGAGAAACACACTCAGGACAAAGGACCCGGTGCGCGCTCCCCCTCCAGGGGCGTGCCCTTGCCATCCCCCCCACAGGCACGCATCTCCCAACCTCTAAGGGACCCCATGAGACTTGCAACCATTGGTTAGAGCATCACCCTGATAGGCCAAGGGTGTGGGTTCTGTTAGAGCCAGGACCATGGGCCGGTACAGAAACTCACCAGGGCTGAAAGCCCCTGATGCCCACCTAGCAAGGGGCAAGCTGGGAAAACCAGAACCTCACCCCTAGCACATCACTGGTCATGAGGTTGAGACCCCCTGATCTTTTCCTCCCTAAAGATAATATCTAGGCCTCAGTTATAGTTCAGCTCCAGGCCCAGAAAACTGGCAAAACCAAATAAGTGTCTCAGGACCAGCTACACTGACGAATGACCGCCTGGCACCAACCAATCAGTGAAGACCACGACAGTGAAGAGCACCCTGGAGAGCTGATGACTATCCATTAAGACCCTCCCCTAAGATTTCCACCTGCAAGAG